AAACTGCAAAATACAAAGTCAGGACGAGACGAGATCACGCGGTGACCCACTACGCTCGCGAAATAAAAGGAAATGGTAGCGCGGTATCGGATTAAAACCGGTGAATTCAGCAGCCCGAACAGCAGCCGCGGGAGCCTTGCGAGCAAGCGAGCCAGGCAGGCATCTTAATAATCCTCGCTGTTCCGCTTTCATCCCTGAAATCTTCCCGGCGCGGCGCCGCGGTATTTCTATTGTGTATTATCGCACTGTGCGGAGCTCTCGGCTCTCGCTCGCTCGGTGTCGGACGCGCGCGTTCCGCGTAATATCCAGACGCCCTTTAGCGAAATAGCGATATGCTTTATGGTGGCCCGTAACATTTATCGCGGCCCGAGAGCGGCCAAAGAGCGAAAGAGCAAGGGTAAATTAAAGGGGGAAGGATGGAAGAAGAGACGAGCGCGAGACAGGGACGAAAGAGAGGCGGGTTATGTCCTCGTAACTCGACATAACTGCACGCCGACGTTATACGTATGCTAAACTAGAAAACGAGGTGGAGAGAGAAAGAGTGAGCGAGAGAGAGAGAGAGAGAGAGAGAGAGAGAACCAACGTGTTATGCGAAGCGTTAAAACAATTATATCACATAAATTACACCGTCGGGACATAGATTATGTCCGATTATTATCGAGCTGTACTACTACATCGCGTCTAACGGCGCGAACATATATCTCTCTCATTGCGTAATGAAAATTACGTGTTGAATTAATGTTGATCGCATGCAAATTTGGATCGTTTATTAACGACGACGCTTTTTACGGCTCACTGTCGTGTCACAATTACCGGTGCGGACTGAATTCTCATCGTTGTATAAGCGGCAAGCGCAAATAACTTCTCCGGTAGCCATGATCTAGTGTTTAGTATTCCACGTAAGTGCAATTCTAGTATCACACAAGTCAAACGGTCGTCTCGGGTGGGCAATTATCAAGCGGGAGCTTCCCGTATACCGGGGGCGAGTTCCATCGTGCGGTTTCGCCGTCGCTTTCGTGACATCGATACGACCGGCCTGCGCGTATACATCACTCCGGCTTTTTTTATTCCTCCGGCATTGAAGAAGATCTATATATTCTTTCGCACGTGTCGCGCGGCACGCTCCGTAACCTGAATTTGGAATAAACGTCTTTCGCCGCGGCGAAAAAAAAGACGATGCAAAATGCCTCGCGTGTAATAATAATACGCGTACCGCGATTGTTACTTCGCCCGCAACGACACGGATAACCTTTGCTGCGTAAAACCGCAAATTTATTGGCCACCGAGATCATTATACCACCATCGTCTCGCCGAGAGCCCCGGGGGATGCGTCCGTTAGAATAAGGCGGCGATTGCAGGGTATCGGTGGGAAAAATAGATGTATTTATGGGCGTCCCTCTCCAACGTTGAGTTACAGCTCGGAGATCGCTCGATTCGAACGCAGCATCGATATACTCCTACGTTGTGCCGAGAAAATGCATTTTCGGGCGTCGAAAGGTCAAACGCCTCCCGACGCGCGGGAAACTCGCCGCGCCTCGCCGCACACGCGGACGATGCTGCTCTTCCGGAAGGATTCATCTCACGGTTACGTACTTAAAGGGATTGAATCATTAACCTTTAAACCACCACACCCAAAAAAATCACACAACAGCTATTATACTCTATAGCTAATTTGATAAGTTAATTATAATAAAAATGTATTTTTTCTGAATATTTGTCGATGAGGAAAAGGAAAACTATATTTTAATGTAAGCGTTAACAAAAAAATCTCGTATGCAATATAAATAAAATATATTTAAATGGTGACAAATAAGAAAATTGTTGACAATTAACGTTTCATTAGCGGTCTGTGAGACCGATATAGTGGTTTAAAGGTTAACGATTTTACAGAGACGTGGGCAGGCGCAGTTAATTTTCCGGTGCGCTGGAAGCGCGATTCCACAGTCGCGTATGCACGTACAAACGCACGTTGGAACATTACATATCTGAAATTATATATCTCGTTCGAACGACTTTCCTCTTCCCACGCGTGGATGTTCCATTTTCAAGCGGAACTCTCCTCGGGCGTCCATAACGCGTCCCCTTAATGGGGGAGCGGGGGGGGGGGCTATATACGTGGCGTTTACTTTGTGAATACGATGATACTTCCTCGCCGATACTGCGCCTTAAAATGACACTTAAGTGCATCGTCAAGCGCGATTCCCGATGAAAGTAACACGGCGCGAGTGACACTTTCTCAGGTTTATGAGTGCAAGGCTCCATCTTCGCGGCGTCGCTTTCGGGGCATCGTAACGTTTTCATGAGGATCATAAAAAGAAGCTCCGTAAAAGATTCCGTTTTCACTTCTTCGATGTTGCAGCGCTAATCAAAGTCACGGCTCGGACCTTGAATATTGGACAATACAGCGACACACTTGTACCGAAGAGATTTACCTTCGTTACACTAATCGATTTAAATATAAAGCATGTAGGGATTTTTAAGCGCCTAAATCTCCCAATTCTCCCAGATTCGCCCAAAACAAAGTTATAAATCCAGCTTTTGGATTTTAGCTGTGCAACATTCCTGTTGCGATTTTGGTCGAGAAGAAGAAGAGCCGCCAACACGGCGATGCGCCGAGTTAAAAATGGTTTCCATGTCAGGCAAGTCGGGTGGCGCAAAAATGAAGAATATATAATGAAGCCAGGTAAAAAATGGGATCCGTGTGCAAACGATTAATTCTGCATTCCGTCCCACGCTCCAACCTGCGTATCCCATCCCTCTAAATTCTAGATTTTCATTTTGTCTTCGTTTTAGAGATTACATTTGCAGATTTAAAGATTATACTATGTTTACGTCTTCCTTTGTCTAAGTCTGATGAAGTCTTGGAAGTTTCACTAAAGAATTATTTCGACGTTGCAACGGTCATCGAGCGGCGTGCATGTAACAATTTTTGCGGCAAAATCCTCAGTGATATAGCGGGATGCTCATCGACTTTTCATCTTCTCAAATAAACAGGACTTCGCTTCTTTCCTGTGATGCCCATTTGAAAGGTGGCAGCACGATCCGGAAGGTGAAAGTCCCACGATGAAGAGGGAAGGAGTGGTGGTGCACATATAGAGGGGCGGAGAGGGCGCGGCTTGTCCAGACGTTCTCTGTCCTGACGACGACGACGATGTCGCCGAAGTTGATATTTCTGCTGGGATCCCTGTGTCTACTCGCCGGTAAGTGCGATTCTGGTTTACTTGCGATTTAACCGCGCGAAAGTCTCTCGCGTCGCGAGTTTGACGCCTGCTTGAATTACAGCCGTCAAAGTTGAAACCCAATTTTTCAATTTCAATTCATATAGTGAATGTCAAATTTAATGGAGTAAAACTGCGACCGAAGTTACGAGGCATTAATAAAATTAAAATTGAAACTGTTGGAAAATGTTAAGAGTTTGAATATTGCATAATAAATGGATATAGATGTTCTCAGTAGACGCTGAAAAATTGGAATTGTAAATGAAGATAAGAGATAATCTTTGAAATCAACGTTAATAGCGTGCAAAAGAGAGAAAGAGAGAGAGAGAGAGAGAGAGAGAGAGAGAGAGAGAGAAAGAAATAAAGCCTACTTTGGAGAACCACTGTCGCTTTCCCCTCCCCCGTTGCCCTGACATTTTCAAGACTTTCTACTTCTACCGGAGTTCACCGACCTCTCCTTCGATCCGCGATCGCGAAGCGCACGCTCGTGTCGTGAACCGATCGTGACATTTTCAACGATTAATCGAATTCACCTCCGCTTTGTCCCCGTGCAAAATGTCACATTCAATTGAAGTCCGCCTCTGATCACGTCGATTGATCCTAATTTCTACTGCAACGCTCATGACATTACCATCTATGGAAATCTTCACGAAGATTTTCAAAAGCCTCTGATAAACTATTTGAGAACTAGGACGACCCTTATCCAAGAATATTATCCTTCCTACTGGAACTCTCCAACGTATTTTGCACAAAATTTCTGTAGGAGATTTAATTATTGAACTGACTGTCATTGAACTGACGACGGGGCTATAAATTGATATTAATACAAAGTTAATTTGACTCACTCACGACGAGCATTATTAATTAATAAATCATATATTCCTGTTTGCAGGGACGCAGGTCAGAGCGCAAGATGACGAAGGCGGCGACGGGACTGACGCAAACGCCGAGGAACTTTGTCAGGACAGGCCGGGCGACGAGTACTTTCGCTTGAGCGTCGAAGGCGACTGTCGGGATGTCGTGAGGTAAGCCGCCGCGTATCATTCCATCCGTGAATATACAGGCTCGGATCGAGCCCTCTTGAACGAGCGGAACAGCACGTTATATAAAATTTCCACTGTTTCACGCAAAAAAAAAACGCTGCAAGAATAAAAATTTAGGCACCGGTTTCCGAGAACTTGGAGAACGCACTACGGCGGGCCGCCTCTCCGCGCTTTAGATCATATTATAATTATGTCGCCTTATATAATGCGTTTAATTTGCAGCAACCGCGCGGGTGAATGGAGTCGCGGCGCGCAAGGTGAATCGGGTTTTAAAATAGAAAAAGAGCTATAGGCTCTCGCTGACTCATTTCCGCCTGTGTACCTCGACTTATATCACCTGACTCTACCGGTTGCCAGGAAGCGGACTTGTCAATCGCTATACACTTTCCCCGGGGGATCGCGCGCCGGTTCTGATCTCGCTAATTTAATCCAATTCGCACACGCACGTTCAACGGGGGCTTTACCAAAAATTGTTAATTGCCCGTAACGAAAGAAGAAACGCAGGAAACGAGACGTATGCGACATTTTTACGTCTTTCGTTCGGCACCACGGAGACAGAGAATGTAAGTCTCAAGGGCGTCCGGTTTTGACAGAACGCATAATAAATTCACCCGGGAATGCAGATGACGATAAGTCATCGACTGATAAAAATAACGTCGGCCGTTTAGTCATTGATCCAGGATGTGTTCTGATCAAGGAATCGATCAAATTACGACTTTCCAGGGGCTCAAGGCGATCCGGTAGATGCAACCCCGAGACCAGTTTAACATTTCCCTTGCCATTTGATATCTCTTTTTTTTTTTAGACTCGACACGAGTAACTTTCCCTTATCGCATTCCTAGCGCGGCAGTCATTGTACCTTCATTTATTCAACAATTTTCATTCACGCTGGAGAGTACGATCATCAAGACCTAAAATCATAGCGGAGCACAATAGAGAGCGCATAAACACTACACTACTCGGTCATATTACGGTTGCAACAATGATTCACACGCGTAGCGCCAGTTTATAATAAGTCCCGTTTATTGTAAATGCATTGTGTTTCCATCTCTATTGTACTCCGCGCACTGAATAATTTCCGCGAAGCGACGGCGAAATTTCGAAATTACCGACCGCGCGTTTCGCGGCACGATGACTGCCACGTGCGCCGCGGGGAGGGAAAAAAGATATTCGATGTGAAAATGACTTTAGGTGCGATAAAGCCACCGAGATCGGCGTGACCAGGCTGGCGACGGTGCGGTGCCCGACCGGTCTCGCGTTCGACATCGAGCGGCAGACCTGCGACTGGAAGACGAACGTGAAGAACTGCGATCAGCTGGAGAGTAAGCGAACGTCACGTCTTTTTCCCTTAGTTTAGACTCACGCAGGCACCCTTTTTTTTTTGTTTTCTGTCCCACGCGCGGCACCCGGGCTGCAGGTGTACAAGGTCCGGCCTGAAGCAAATCACGTGTCCCAGCGGGCTGGCCTTTGACGTGGACAAACAGACCTGCGACTGGAAGGGCAAAGTCACCAACTGTGACAAGCTCGAGAGTAAGTCGGAGGAATCGGTGATTATATGCGACCGCCAAAATCTCCCCGCCGCGGTCGGATCGCCGATTCCCCTCGTAGACTCGCAACGTAGCACGCACCGTTCGTATCATTAGAACTAACGCATGGTATCGTCTTCACGCACCTCACGCAGCCCCCACGATGCGCAGCGACTCTGGAACGTCTTCGAACGTCTCTCGTCGAATGAAGTAGAGATATACCAATTGGAAATCAAATTTTCACGAATCGTTCGAAAATCTTCGTCACCGATCCCAATTTTGTTTCGGACAAGATCGTTAATATCCAATTACAAGCAAGAAGTCGCTTCTTTTAAGTCGCGATACGGGATATTGCGCAATCGTTTCCGTTACGTAAAACGACGTGGCTCGAAAAAGCCAACTATGCGAAACTTTCCAACGACGCCGCGATGCCATTAAACCGGAAAGCGCGCATTAACGCGACGACGGGATTCGACGACGAGATTGATCGGCGAGAGGGGAAACGAGGGACGGGGAATTTGTACTTTCAGGCGCGGAGAGCGATCGAAAACGCCCGGGTCCTGATACTTTCAAGAGAGAGAGAGAGAGAGAGACGTTTCTCGCCCGCGCCGCGGGGCTTTTCTCACCCGACCACTTTCGTCCTGCGGCTCGAGGCGAGTCTCGACTGGTTTCGATTTTCAGCGAAAGTGCCGGGCCCAGCGGGGGCCTCATTCGACGCCTCATCGTTTCGCGCGAGATGAAAAAAAAAGAACGTTTCAGAGACGCTGCGCGGTCGTGAAAACGACAGAGCGGCTAACCCGGTTTCGAGTCCTCGAAACTATCTCTCCCGTATTTTTCTCATGCCAATTTCCACGACTCACCGCGCAAATACGACTAACAAAACTGCACTTTCCAACGGAGTTGGACGAAGAGACCGGCGCGCTCTCGATTCCGTTCCGGCTTAACTAATAGTCCTCCGACCTCGTTTCGATGACTGTTTAAACGGTGGCCATTAAAGTATTTTACACGTTTATGTATCAATTATAACTTTATTTTTCTTTTCTTATTTATAATCGCGTTGAGAATTCCTCTTACCAGAGGAATCTCTCTTTTCGCGGAAGACAACCGCGACTCGCGCTAATTCCGCAGTTGAGTTAAGTGAAGTTTAATGAGACATTTGATTCTCGCGGTTTCGTCCAATTTCGAATTTTTTTTTTTTTTTACTAGGCCTGCTGTCGGCTTAACGTCGTCGAATCGTTAACACTACGTTGCGTGCCGTTGTACGCACGCGGAAGACCATTACGCTTCCGCGTTACGACACTGTTCCCTCGCGAGCGGCGCGATAACCGGTAGCGAAATATTTATCTCTCGCAACATATCTGAACATATATTAGACGTATCTCGTTTAGCGGCTGAGAGCCATTTACTTTGTGAGTGACAGCGTTCGCGAAGTCAGCTTACTGAGTAAGCGGATCTCGCGCGCGCTAAGTGGTTTTCGTTATGAGAGATCGCGGGAAGAAAGGCATACGTTTGCGCAAAGATAAAAAAAAAAAGAAAACGTGCATAAAGTCACATGTCGCAACTCGCGCGCGCGATCGATAATCTCTCCACTTCGGAGATAATCGGAGATGATTTTTCGCGCCGGTGTTTCAAAATCAATGTAATCCCCATTTAACGCTGAACGCACCGCTGCGCTCGATTCTCATTCCACTGAGTACGAACTTTGTGCTGGATAAATTAATTCTAATATCTCAAACGGCCATTAGATGAATATTAAAAAAATTAATTGATTAATTAACGCACGCATTAGTAGAGGCGTAATCGCGATAATATACATATTGTATATATATTTCGCATCGCACGTTATCGCGCCGCCGCCGATGCAAATTTTCAAATGTCACGATCTTTCTGCCCGTTCGAGTCAACATTGGCACGCAACGATTTTCTAACATTTAGCGCTCCCCGGCCCTCTTCTTCCCCCTCCCCCTCCCCACCCCCTGATTCGCTCCAGGTACGAGGTTGCACGTACTTATTCGTTCGCCGATCTTTCTCTCTACATCCAGATCGGTTTCGCTTCGGCGATCTGGCCTCCTTACAGCAGTAGCTCCTCCAGCCGTTCGACCGGCTCGCTTTTACTACTGAAGTCAGTGAAGTCTCGAAACGCGCGTGCGCGCGCGCGTGCTCGAACAGTCCGATCGTCAATCATCTCATTAAGAGAGACTCTTCTTTCTCACGACTGTCACGACGACGAGAAATGGTACAGCGAGACTCTTTTTTTCTTCCACATCCATTTCCGTAATTTCAGTCTGTCGATCGGTAAACAGAACGTCGCACACTTTCTTTCGATTGCAAACGGGTAGCCCAAGCTAGAAGGCGCAGATATCAGAGTCATCGATTTCCAAACGACGAGAGAAGATCACGGAAAAGCCTTTTGACGAATCGAATCTTCGCGAAAAAGGTAACAAAAACAGGACACGATTCACGTTCATCGATTATAATCCTGAAAGTCGCGACGTCGCCAAAACAAACCAGATTCCTCATGCCCATTGCTTTACACCTCTTAATTTAATTTGACAGCAGTTAGTTTCTCGCTCCTCTACAGTTTCGCTCGCACTGTCACATTTCGAAAGCTCATTTTTTTCTATTTCTCTTTTTCTCTCTCTCTCACTCTCTTTCTGTCTCTCTCATTCTCTCATACACCTGAATAACGGCTTGCGTGCATCGCTGCCAGTCGACGAGGCAGACAAATGCCGAGTCCAAGTTTATCTTCGGAGTCGCCGTCGGGCGAAAGACAAATAGTCTTCCTGCGAGAAACCGTAAAAAGGTTGCAGGACGAGACGCATACGTTATGTCCTTTCGCGGAGAACAAAAAGCTTCGAGAAGCCGTTGACCGACCGACAAAATACGCACTTCGTATTTGGACGGCAAGTGTAAAAAAAAAAGAGTGCAGGACGAAAATAAAAGGGGACGACAAACGAGACGAGACGAAAAAGCCATTCCGACGGAGGATCGAAATAATGGAAAAAAAAAACAGGGGCAGTGGCGTAGGAACGAGCGCGTCTGTTAAAGTCCGTATCAGGACTACATTGGAAATTGAGAATTGCGAATTGAAGATTGGAATTCAAGCAATTAAAACGAAATCGATTAAAATTAAAACGATCTTTGATTGTTCAATTACAAATTGAAAGTCCGAATGGGTCGAATTCGGACTTCACAATTTGTAATCCTCAATCTTCAATGGATAGCCTGAAGTCTTTATCAGGCTACGCATTGGAGATTGCGAATCGCGAAAAGAAGATTAAAATTCGACGAATTGGAACGAAACGGATTAAAAGTGAAATTATCTAATTGATCGAATTCTGATCTTCAATTCGTAATCCTCGATCTTCAATGCGTCTGATACAAGCTTGTAACAGCCTTAACATGGCGTTCTCTTCTCCGGAAAAATTGCGAGAGCTCGAACATCCTTAAGCTACCTGTATATATACATACCTATATATACACGGAAAGAACGATTTTGATGAAAGGTCTAAAAATTTTGCTAAAAACAGATCTGAAAATAACTTTTTATTAAATCATCAAAATAATTTGTTAGAATGTTAAAACTGATAAGCATTGCTATAAAACGTTTTAGTGTTCTAGCAATTATTTTGACTTTTGTACAAAATTATTTTGATTATTGAACAAAAATTATTTTCAAATCTGGATTCAGCAAAATTGTTCTTTCCATGTACGCTCCACCACCGCGCGCACTGAGAGAAAAGTTTAGTATGAACAACCAAAATTTTGTTACTGATACCAAAACTATGTGTTGATATATGACCACACAGAAAGAACACTTTTGCTGAATCCAGATCTGAAAATAATTTTTGTTCAATAATCAAAATAATTTTGTGCGAAAGTCAAAGTGCTAGAATATCAAAGCTAGAATATCAAAACGTTTTATACTTATCAGTTTTAACATTCCAACAAATTATTTTGATGATTCAACAAAAAATTATTTTTAGATCTGTTTTAAGCAAAATTTTTAGATCTTTCAACAAAATCGGTCTTTCCGTGGCAACTAAACTAACACGTCGATATTAATTCGTTGAATTTATTGAATAAAATTACCAAAATAATTACATTATTTTGTTGAACTTACTAAAAGAAAACTTATTTTGTAATTGCAACTCAATTTTATATTACTGTGTACAAAATGTGAGTAACCAAATAAAATTGTGTTGTTAAATCAAAAATTATACCAAATTTTGCTTATTTAATTATATATTTTGCTATTTTAACAAAAGTTTAGAATAAAACTTGACTTTTGTGAATAATTCTCTGTTTTTGTTACCATTAGTATATCTTTTCTCTCAGTGTAGTTAGAGAATGCACAGAGTATAGAGATTTAACGTGTTACTGTGTGTGTTTTGCTAAAGGTGACGAGAGATAGCTGCGGAAATTGGGTGGCACGAATTAATTCAGCACAACCTCCCCCCCTTAGTTTAATCATTTTACTTCTTTTTGCATCTTTGTACTTCTGCAAGTCTCTACTATGTAGAACGACACACACGGTTCCTACGCTGCTGCGTGTAAATAAACGGGGGATTACAGTGGGCATTCGGGCCTTGATTACACCTGTAGCTGGTCACGTGAATTACTTAGAGCACCAACAGCAGTGAGATTTTCATACAGTATTCAGTAGCTGGCCATAAAGTGCCTATTACGAGATCTTAATTGCCCCGATTACACCGCCGGCTCAAGTTACTCGCGTGAATTATGTAGAGCGCGATAACGATAACGATCTCATACAATATTCGGTAGCCGGCCGTAAAACTATTACCCACAAGACTATAATTACAAGACCTTTGGTCTATTCCGGTATAATTAATACAATTAATGACTTGGATTTAGTTCGAACTAATCCATAATAAAGAGAATTTGCGCTCCGCTAAAAACAGTTGTAATTAGTTGATTTACGTCACGGTCAATTAGATTGAAAGAACAATAAGTATTTTATCGTACTGGGTATTATATGGCCATTCTATTGATGTTTGATGTACCACACCTGCTCGATATCTCAAATGGTAATCGATTAGCGAACGAGCGTCGCGCGGTCTAACGGAGATTGCGATTTACAGAGCCGCGTAAGGTCTTGCCCATCCTCAAGACCGATGAGCCCGTTTGCCCGGAGGGGAAATTGTCGTGCGGTAACGGCGAGTGCGTCGACAAGGAGCTCTTCTGCAATGGCAAGCCCGACTGCAAGGACGAGTCCGACGAGAATGCCTGCAGTAAGTGTCGTAAATGTAACGTTCGCCTGTTCTTTGAGCGATCGTAGCGCAGAAAATTGTACGTCTACTTGTTGTGTCGAAGACCCGAGTTCAAATCCGATCAGAAACATCGGATTTTTATTCGATTGCTATCTTTCGGCAATGGCAAAAAACCACCGAGAGTATATCTTGCAGATGAAAACTCATCTCTTAATTGGATCGTTCGAAATCGGCATTCAAAATGTAGATAGATGTATAATCTGTGTAATTGTAAATAGCGTACATCACAGAAATACGCTGAGGGATCACCACGCTTCTGCAATAAGGCAAAAGATTTGAAAGAAAAAGAAAAATGTAAAACAAATAACATGAAACCAATTTCTTCTCATTGTTAGCAAAAATTGTTAGATGTAATTACTTAGAATTTGACGTTTTTACGAGTCATTTTATGAGCTATGATCAATTGATTTGTACAACAATGTCAATTGATTATAACTCATAAAGTGACTCGTAAAAACGTCAAATTCTAAGTAAGTATGATATCTAACAATTTTTGTTAACAATGAGAAGAAATTGGTTTCATGTTATTTGTTTTACAGTTTTTTTCTTCTTTCAAATCTTTTGCTTCAGAAGGTGACCTCTCAGCGTGTTTCTATGATGCGCTATTTACAATTATCTACATTTTAACGCCAGTTTTGAACGGTTTAATTAAAGGTATGTGCGATCGGATGATGTTAACGCGAGATGATCCTAGATTTGGATTACAATCGTGTTGTGCAATAGAACCGTCGAGCGTAATTTTTAAAGTATCGAGGCATATGTATAGCGGATGTATTTAATCATTTCAATATTGATCGACGCATATAATGACGCTTTAATTTCAATTCTTCTTTAATGAAATTCTATTAATACTTTTAATCAACACATATATGATTGAAAAAAATATCCGCATTACAGCCGTGGAGACCGATCCCAACCGCGCTCCGGATTGCGACCCCACGCAATGCGTCCTGCCCGATTGCTACTGCTCGGCCGACGGCACCCGTATACCCGGCAACATCGATCCCCAGCAAGTGCCGCAGATGATCACGATCACCTTCAACGGCGCCGTGAACGTCGACAACATCGACCTCTACGACGAGGTCTTCAACGGGCAGCGTCAGAACCCGAACGGCTGCCAGATCCGCGGTACGTTCTTCGTCTCTCACAAGTACACCAACTACTCGGCGGTGCAGGATCTCCATCGGCGCGGCCATGAGATCGCCGTGTTCTCGCTGACGCACAAGGAGGACCCGCAGTACTGGAGCCAGGGCACGTACGATGACTGGCTGGCGGAGATGGCCGGCGCTCGGCTGATCATCGAGCGCTTCGCCAACATCACCGACGGCTCCATCATCGGCGTGCGCGCCCCCTACCTCAGGGTCGGCGGTAACAAGCAGTTCGAGATGATGGCCGATCAGTTCTTCGTGTACGACGCCTCCATCACCGCGTCGCTCGGACGCGTGCCGATCTGGCCGTACACGCTGTACTTCAGGATGCCGCACCGGTGCAACGGCAACGGCGGCAACTGCCCGTCGCGGTCGCATCCGGTCTGGGAGATGGTGATGAACGAGCTGGACCGCAGGGACGATCCCACCTTCGACGAGTCCCTGCCGGGTTGCCACATGGTCGACTCCTGCTCTAACATCCAGACCGGCGAGCAGTTCGCGAGACTGCTCAGGCACAACTTCAACAGGCACTTCAACAGCAACCGGGCGCCGCTCGGTCTGCACTTCCACGCGTCCTGGCTGAAGAGCAAGAAGGAGTACAAGGACGAGCTGATCAAGTTCATCGAGGAAATGATCGCCAGGAGCGACGTGTACTTCGTCACGATGGTTCAGGTGAGAGATCTGACATTTTTTTCTTAGCCATTAATGCATTCATACATTTAAAAAGCAAAAGTTTCATATCTTGTTTCTCCTCCAGGTAATTAAGTGGATGCAGCAGCCCACCGAGCTCTCCGCGCTCAGAGATTTCCAAGACTGGAAGGAGACCTGCGACGAGAAGGGCCTGCCCTACTGCTCGTTGCCCAACGCTTGCCCGCTGACGACCAGAGAGCTGCCCGGCGAGACCCTGCGTCTCTTCACCTGCATGGAGTGCCCCAACAACTATCCGTGGCTGCTGGACCCGACCGGCGACGGCTTCTCCGCGAGGAAGTGATCCGTCCGTTCCGCGAAAAAACGAGCGACGCGCCGACGCGTCGACCGGTCGCGCGATCCGGTTATCAGAGATCGATCGTTTTTTTTTTCCGGCGAGTCCGGAAAAACCACGTCGGATAAGACAGTGGTAATCGACCGAGGCGAAACCGAGGAAACGAGGGCGCAGCTCTGAAAGACACGGAGAAAGCAATCGGGCGACGGGCGCGCGGTTGAGGCGCGTCGATTTCGGGCGAGATCTCGGGCGAATCGTCTTATCACGATTAGAAAGCGTCATCTCTGCCGCCTCGAAGACACGAGCCGTAACACTAATATTAAAAGTGGAGCGAAGCGCCTCTGCTTTCGCAAAGGGGAAACGCACCGCGCCCGGTTTCTCTTCCGCGACTTGACTATAATTATTATTATTATTATTTATGTAAATTAGGATCGGTTTAAAAAACGCACAATCGCCGCATACGGTCGCGATGATGTCCGCGTATCGATTTCTCGTGAGGGAAACGGCCATCGCGCGCATACGATCATCGACGAGTCACGCGGGGAAAAGCTCGTTTCCTTCCTGCCCGCATGACGGAGAGCGCGGCGGAGCCACGTCGTCTCGAGTTGCGACTCCCAAAAATCGATACTCCATGAGAACGAAACAATCCACGGGGACGTCCCACTTGTACATACATACATAGCCACCGGATCCTTGCCCTCCCAATTCTCGTCCTCGTTGCTTTCTAGAAACACTTGTACGCGAAACGATACAACGGAGCCTTGCGGCCGATGAAGCGAAAGACGATAAGCTGAATGTACCATCCCGTGCCTCTCTGAACATGTACTCCTTAGAATTTAAGCGACGCGCGACATTCTAAGTACATAATTTTTAGTGTCTTTACAATATTTCCGAATAAAAACTGTACGTACAAAAATAGCGTGTGTGGATATAAACTGACTCCCGCAATCAATATACAATTTATTTTAGATAATAATATAATTAACATAATTAATATAATAATTAATTAAATGATGCAGTTAATTAAGTTAAAGAGCTTAAACAAAAGAGATCGCAGCTTTACTTTAGAGTTACACGAAATTAAATTTACGATCACAGTTACAAAAAAATCATTTGACATTGTATAAAAAAATTTACAAGTTTAAATATTATTAATTTAAAAAAATTGATACCAATCTATTATAGCACAAAAATCTATGCTTGCGTTATCATATAATATTTAATCCTTGAAGAAGTTAGTTAGAAATTAATCCTAACTTCTGCGTTTTTCTCCTCCTTAGCCGCCATATATTCTTGCGGGATGTAATATTTTTAGCTTTCCCTTTGGGATATTATCTTCTAAGTATTAAATTTTCTCACCACGATAAAGATTTATATAGAAAAACCTAGTTAAATTAATCAAAAAGGTACTCAATTTCGCTCCTAAGCTTAAAAAATTCATTGTTGCTACAAAATATTTAACATACATGCTATAAAGTAATTTCAAATCATCAATTTTATTCATTTTTTAAATATTATTGTATGCTCTTTTTTTATATTTCTCTGAAATATGTAATTTTTCTGTTCAAAATATTACTAACAATTAGAATCTTTTAAGTAACAACGCTATTTTTGATAAGGAAAAATGTATACTTAACGCTCTTTACATTTTTGATACCCTTTTTAAGTACTTATTAATGTTTTTCTTGTGGCTTCTTTTTATATTTCTTTTTACAATTCAGTATTTTGTTCCTTATCATATGCACGTATGTGTTTCAAAATAAAAGCATATGTAGTGAGCATATGCTTCTATAGAATATAAAACGCAAAAGACCCATTTCACAGGTTATTTATTATTGCCGATTCTTTTTCGTCTATATAGCGTTTTGAAAATCCTGCGCGCGTGCACAAGTCATGAATGAACGCATCGTGCGCGCGTACACGTGTCTGCTACACTGCTTTGTCAGCTGATCAGCTGATCTGTAGTAGTCACGTGCTTCATGATTAAAGGAGCGAGCGGGGCTTGGTGTACGCGTGTCAGCCATATCTGTCCCTAGATCGAGATTACGGGTCGATATAATTGTCTATCTTTACTCTTAGAAAGAACTGCGTCTAGTTTTTTAAAGCGGACGCATTAAACCTAACACCAATATAAGGAAGGAAATGTGTTATATTTTGCTTAACAGACGAATTTATGTAAATTAATTTTTAATTAATTTTAAATAATATAGATACTAATACTTCTTGTGTGTGTGAAATCTTTATATTTTACAAATCTTTAAAAAATGGCTTTACATCAGATAAAACAAATTGATATGACGTGAGACCTAATAAATGTTTTGTCACAAAATGAAAAAAATTTTGTATTATTATAGATTATTTTATAATTGATAGATTCAACGTAAACTTGATATTGAAATAATATAGATTTTTAATAATTAAAAAAAATATTAATTTTTGATAGCTTTTGGACATATAATAATGTGATATTTATGATATGCAAATCCGGACATGGAAAATGCATTCGCGCGAGAGCATGAAAAATTCACATCCGTAGCAATAGTATGTACAGTAATTACAGAAAATTTATTCATTCCTTTCGGATTTCACGTTATAATATTTAAAATTATAAAATGTAATACTTTTATACTAATATTTATACAACACCATTCTATCACAGTAAAATTGTAAAATATAAATTCAGACGAATCAATATTTAACAATTTAATAATAATACAATTTTTTAATAATAAAAAGCATATAAAGCAAAAATAATTAAGTTTGAATTTAAGCAGTAAAGCGTTCTTTACCATTTATTACCTTAAAATATTACAGTATAATAATTTTTATTGAATTCATTTAAGCCGACAAAGCAGCTAGTTTGTTTATCAAGCGGACGTTGCATAGCCAATAAACAGCAACTTGAATATCGTTATTTTTTAACATAATATATATAATTTCGAAATATAAATTATAACTTTTATTATAATATTTTTATTTCAGAAATTATATATTAAAAATTACCGTTATTATTAGAAAATATATATACTAGTAGATAGCATGTTCCCTTTAACTTATAGATTTTAATAATACTGTATTTTGAGTTTTTCAAAATATTTACAATAAAATATATAAATAAAAATTAGAATAATAATATGAACAATACATTATATTAAATTTGTACCATAAATTAATCAATAAAGAATACTTATGTTAACATTTTTCTTTTTTTTTTTAACAAATAAATATAATTTATAATAAATTAAATTGCTAGCTAAAAAGCGAAGGTAAAGTATACCACGCAGTTAAATTGTGACAAAATATCTAGCAATTTTTATTATTCATTGCATTTGCTCGGCGAGCTAGCTGCTTTGCCGACTTGAACGCGCTTATTTGTTAAACCATCGATTGATAATCAGGTACTACTTTTCACCTTAAATAAATGTTCATATATCATTGCGATCATTCGGAGCCTCAGTTTAAGTAGTGCTCTGTTTTACTCTTGAATTTGCAGCAACAAGAGCGATACTTTATCGATGATCGGAAAATCAGGAAGAATTAATATTTCTTATAGATTGTTGCTGCCACCTAAGCGAAACTTTAGCTGCTAAGAAAAAAATCGGAGAAAAGCCTGAGAGCGTATATGGTATATGTCCACGCTGAACTCCGTAATGCTCGCTGTTTTATCGATTTGTGCATATATGCGTATATGCGTGCGATATATGTATATTAATGTAAGAGTGTATAGCGATGCGATATATCACGAGACGCGTGATTCGGCGCTAAAGAGAACGCGTTCCGGACCGTATCTCTTTATGCGAGCCGGCAAATCGCGAGCACCCGAGTTTACTACTACATCAATATTTATTAATCATTACTAATTTAGTAGGTTTGGAAAAAAACAGTCTAGAATTAATAGCTTCCTAGACTACTGTTTATTTCAATCGTGACAAGAGACGTATCAAATTGTGACTAGTAACGAATCTTATTATGATAATGTAAGTTATATACCTTAATCTATGTTTTCACAATGTTAATTATATGCATCTTGTTTTCGTAATAAGTACATTTGCTTGCAATCGTAAAATTACAAATTCTTCTCGCCCATTATACATATATGTAACATATTACTGCGACTCTATTAGCGGATTAAATTATTAAAATGATGTAACCATTCCATAATTTCATTTTCATAGATTGATGCGTCATTTTTCATTAAAGCAAGTCGTTAAAAGAGACTGAAATGAACGAATTATACTGAAGGATATGTAACATAATTCAATATATTTCGGAGAACAATTTTTACGCACCAAGTTCTACGTTATTAACTCTTATCTCATTAAATTAAACAAAAAAGAATGTAAACTCCAATAAATCGGCATAAATAAATTAAATAATGCATAATTAATCAATTTAAATGTATATGACGTACTAGCGGTAAACTCTTGATTCAGGAAATTTTTCTCTGATATTCAGCCTCAAGAAAATACTCTAAGATGTAGAGGAATATTGTATAACTCTTAATGGCATTCTTAATCATAGTTCATGCGTCCACTTTTTTTTAGACAAACACGTGTGATAAAAGAATATGATTCATATAAGATTTTCCGTAAAATTATTTCTTAAAGGAAATACTAAGAATTCCTCACTTATAAGTAAATTATTTCTTTTGGATGTATAAAATATATAATAATTAATTTAAAACATGTGTGTAGTTAGATGCATGTACATGTATTTAGAGACATTTGCTATATATTTAAAATGATTATCATAGATTTATGATCTTAATAAAAAGTTTACTCATCGACCGATACACAACAGCGGAGTTATATCTGCGACGTCGCTAAGATGATTCTGTAACTATAAACAAATATAAAATTCAAATTAAAGCAAAACAGAAAGACAATTAAAAATCCAAAACATTAAACATATGTAGAGTTTCTTTGAAAATAATGTAATTTTCGGAAACACTATTTATTAAATGGATTCTAAGATTCCGTAAATAAAAATCTTTTTTTGATTAGTATTTCCTGAATCATGAATAAACGATCTAATTAAAGAGGAACTATTTCCACGTGAGATATTATCAATGTATATATCATTACATATACATATGCAAATTATACTTAATTACCACAAGGTTACTCCATCGACGCTGGAAGTCTTTTCATCCTTTCAAATTTTCCACATGAGTTGTTGGCATTTTCCTCGTCGCGACACTCTCCGTGTAGTTATTTTCTGAAACATAGATAAATTGAATTTAATTAAAGAAAAATAGGTGATATTTTCGTATATGTCATAACATATGTATAAAAATTAAATTAATTAAACTTACCATTTTCTCTTCGGATCGTTCGGTTGCATTATGAATTCCTCCAACGTGAAAACGTGCCGTGGGTAACTACAATCGCGTGATATTCTATACGTCACTCCCGAAGCTACACGCGATTTTCGTGCTATTTCAACGCGTTCAGAGTCGGATAATTCGCTCGGTACGATAATCTAATTAGACAACACGCACTGACGTGTACGAATATTTAAAAAAATAAGTAAACAACATTACAATTCAATTACATTCGAACCTATTTATTACGCTTCATTTTAATTCATCATCAATATGTTACATTAAATATTAAAACAGTACTTCTCTCGTATATCTTAATACATATAAGTATACTTTAATTTTTCATTATAAAAATTCTGCTATAGATTATCTGTAAGAGATACTTTTTCATTATAAACATTCTTCCAATAAATAATTCGTAAATTATAAATCTCGTCGCAAATGCATCCTAATAAACTGATACCAAATAAAGTGCAATGGACATAGGAATCCTTTAATTAAATTAGCAAATTACGTTTTTCGTTATATATTGTGTACGATATATTGAGTTACTCGATTTAAAAGAAATTATTACTTAATATATAATTGAAGAA